ATAAAAAGTTTGGGGTTAAAATAAAGTTGGGGGGTTAAATGGCTATTTTATAAATAGCCAACGGCTATTTTGGCAGGTAAAACAACCATATTTTAAATGCCATAATGGCTATAATGTGGCAGATTGTTTTTAAAAAAAAATTAGTCGTTGGGCCAGGATAGGCCCGTTTGAACCTGCCCATTTCTCAGCCGGTCCCGGTCCCGGTCTCGTGGGCCTCACCTATGGGACCAGCCCACTACTCAGCCTACCTCCTCACGGTCCGTTTAGGCCCACCGCCCATTTGGACTTGCGGTTCTGGACTGGGCCCGATCCTAACCGGCCCATATACCACCCTTAGTCTCTGATCTTTCTTTTCGCTTGAGATTATTGAGGTCATGGTCTAGTTACTGTAATCTGGTGACCAGATTTTATTTGGACGGAAATATGTCTGGCTCTAAGGTTAGTTATTAAGTCTGTCCAAATTTGTTGACACTCAAAATTTTCAGACTAGATTATGTATTTTAAATTAATTATATGTGTCTAGAAATTGCGTGCAAAGAACTAGTATGAGTTGCAATTTTCCTATATCAAGGGGACTGAGTACATTTTGAAATGTCAGTTTCATGTCACTTCTTATAATCTTGTGCGCCTAACATATATCGGGATTAGGGGTGTACAAATGAAATCGACAAACCGCACCAATCCGATAATCTGAGTCAAACTGGAAAAAAAATCCGACTATAGTTTGGTTTGGTTTGGTTTGGTGTTGAAATAAAAAAACCCGACCATATTTGGTTTGGTTTGGTTTTAACTAAAACAAGTCAAACCGAAACCAAACCAACCCGACATTATATGTATAGAAGTTTTAAATATATTTAATACATAACAATATTTATGGTAGTGTAGTTTATAAATATTTCTTAAGATTTTTCATAGTTTTATTTTTTAACGTATTATGTCAAAATTGGGCTTATAACTTTTGGATGCTTCAATAAGTTTTATAGATCATAAATGTTAGTAACTCAAATAAATTCTAAACCAAAATCAAATCAATATTAATACTAATAAAAGACTTCAATTGTACTATGAATGAAAATAGTGTTGGATATCTATTTTTTAGTTTTTTCATGGTTTAGATAAAATGTATAACTTATTTTTCTTTTAGTGGTTAGTCATGTAAATAATAGTACTTATTAGTCATAATTTTAAATTATGTTTGTTTTTATTATGGCTTATTAATAATATTTATTTTATGCGATTTTATTATCTTTATTGTTGAATATTTTAGTACAATGCCATGATTCATCTCATATTAATATTATTTTATTGAAAAACACCTTATATAATTCTGTCTCACTAAGTTTAAAGAAATATTTGGAGCACAAATTTTACGTTTTGTGCTATGAAAACTTTATGAAAAAGAAAACCGAAAAACCCGAAAACTCGAGAAAAACCGAGATTAAAAAATCCGACTTTTATTGGTTTGGTTTGGTATTTAGATTTAATAACCCGATACAATTGGTTTGGTTTGGTAATTAGAAAATCCGAACCAACCCGACCCATGTATACCCCTACTTGGGATAGTGTATGTACCTCAAGTTTTTCGAGTCCAGAACCAAAATGTGGTCTTTTTGGACTCAAACGACGAAAATAGGTGAAAAAATAACTTACTATCATTTTATATATAGGGCGGTTATTTACTGCGTTATACCTTAACGACACGTTTGTCCGTTAAGATATAACGCATGTAATATATTCGTTATACTCAGTATTTACAGTTATAATATGTTGACGGCATAGCGCATCAATGACATGCGCTGTCCATCCTTCACATCTCTTCTTATTTTTCTTGTCTCTTGCATTATACTGAAGTAGTATTTGTTTCACTTTAAAAAAAATTGTCTTTTTTGTTCAAAGACAAATTTGCCAACCTAATTAAAGTCAATTTTTAGGGCTGTTTTAACAAAATCGTAGGTTTTTATATAAATTTATAATCCTACCGAATAATATGGCAGGTTATTAATTTTATAAAAATAAACCGATAAAATATGAAACCGTACCGAATAAATTTATATATGAAAAATATATTTTATATGCTAATTTTGAAACTAACAAAGTATTAAGTTTTTTTGGGCCTTGGGATTATGAAAATGGCTACAAGTGACCAAATAATTAATACCCAAAGTCAGAACTTCCAAACCTATTCTACAACTCATATTGAAACTAAATTAGTTTCAACATCTAGAATAGCATGCCACTAAGCAATCACGCAATCTTTAGTAGCAAGCCACAAAGTATTGGATATCTTTATGTCGTATGATTTAGATTTCTCTTGTTAGATACTAATCTTTTAATAAACTCTATTTTTGAGTCCCAACTTGATTAATATTTTTTTACTAGTATGATTTATATATTTTTTTATTTTTGCTTAATTTATTTTATGCTACTATCGAATAGTGAGATGAATCTCTATTACGGATGAAAAAATACTTATTATTCCACCACAATCTTTGACGTTGAATTGTACAAGTTCTCTAATTACACCAACTGCTTTCTCAATTTAAATCTTGAATATGAGTTACTCTACTCTTGGATTTGAGTATGTGGACGTTAAAATGTGAGAATATTGTTTCAAAAATCTATCTCTACCTTTTTAAAATAAGACCTTCCTCACCACTTGCCCCTGCTTTTATTTCTCTAATTTCACCTGAACAAAAAGATAATTTTTGCTTTAAATGAAACAAATACTACTTCTGTATAATGCAAAGAGACAAGAAAAATAAGAAGAGAAGTGAAGGATGGATAGCGCATGTCATTGATGCGCTATGCAGTCAATATATTATAACTGTAAATACTGAGTATAACGCATATATTACATGCGCTATACTTTAACGGACAAACGTGTCGTTAAGGTATAGCGCGGTAAATAATCGCGCTATATATAAAAATGGTAGTCAGTTATTTTTTCACCTATTTTCATCGTTTGAGTCCAAAAAGACCACACTTTGGTTCCGTTCCGTTGGCCGCGATGCCATGTGACTTGTGATATGACCATGTCACAGCCGACGGATGTAGCATTATAGCTATCGCTTTAATTAAACTCATAACTTTCGAGATAAAATATAAATTTATGTGTAAATATTTATTAAAATTTTAAAAAATAGTGAACATGAACCTATAACATTAAAACATAATTCCAATCTTTTCTACAGCATCTTGGAGAAATCCAACTGTATTCTTTCAATTGCCTTTCAATTTCCTTATATCACATTGCATAAATGTTAATTTTGACAATAATTTTCACTATATTATTTAATATCCTTGTATGTACGGGAATGTTGCGAACAAAGTTCTCTTATATACGACACTGAATATCCAAAACCTAGCAAATTTACCTTTTCTTTTCGCCTCAATGTTGTGAAATTAATTGAAATGCTCATCTGATGCCCTAATATAATACTACTAGTATTATGTTGTAGTAATAAGGGCAGATCTACGTTAACCGTGCCGGATGCTGAAGCACCCATTAACCCCGACGCAAACTCTGTATAATTATATAGAAAATAAAGGGAATACTGGTATAAAGAATTAGCAAGCATACATTAAGCAAAAGGTCTCCTGGGTGCTTTGGTTAAGAGGTGAGAATGGAGTGCACAAATATGGAAAGGCTAGGGATCAACTCTTGCAAGAGGCAGTTTTTTTATATGGCCAGAAATAAGAAAACATTGGGTGCCCTCCAACTATTTCTTTTACCTTTTTTATTCTTTTCCTTGTTGACTTTTTGAGGACCTTTCCTTTTGTTTTATCTTTCCCCTTTTCCTATTCCTAGTAAAACTAAAAGAGTTAAAATGTAGCTTCTTAAAAACCCTTCTTCTCACTTAAAAACGTTGGCTGCTCTCCTATTCTTTTCTTCTTTTTTATTTATTCTTTTCCTTGTTGACTTTTTGAGGACCTTTTCTTTTATTTATTTATTTAACTTTTCCTATTCCTAATAAAACTAATAATCTTAAAAGTTAAAACCTTCTTAAAAAGCCAAAAACCCTTCTTCTCGGCTTCTCCTTGGAAAGAAAACGCAGTGCACTTGTCCTCCCCAGTAATTTCAAAACCAGAACATAAAGGAAAAGGTAATAAGGTTTGGTATTTTAAATTTTTAATTCAAGCTAGAGGAAACATGAATTGGGGTTTTCTCATGCTTATTGCTTATGCTTTGTAAAAATTAAAATATATTCAATGAATTTTTTGTGTTACTTTGCATTCAGTGACTACAATATTTTTGTGATAAAAAAATATTTTTGGTACTTGTCATAAAGTAAAAAAAAGAAAGAATTGTCTATGTTATTGATTTACTTGACACCGAAACTAAAATTTTGGGATAAATGCAGATTATATTAGCAACAGTGGGTTATGCGATCGATGAATTGGTGCTCGTTCGCTCATTGCTAGCTTTGAAAATTTGTAAGTTTTCATCTTAGCTTTTTAAAGATCAAAATTTTATGTTGTATTTAGTTTGAAAGGTGTGATTAATTTTCCAGTGGAACGAAGAATGGACTTAAATATGTTGTTATTGTCTTGTTGTGTGTGTTGTTTATAGAGAGACATGGATTCCACAATAGGAATTAATTGGATTGTGTGAATTAAATTTTTGGTAAGATTGATTAGGACTGAATCATATTTTGTAGGATTTTTTCATCGATCTTTGTGAATCGAGATGGATAAGTTTGTCACAAGGCTACCCAGTTTTAGCTCTAGTTCTCATCCATCTATTGCTCCATCCATAGCTCCAGAAATTCAGAGGGATCCATTTGTTTCAGATCTTGATTTGGAATCTCTCGAACCTGACCCAGGAGATAGAAAATCTATTGCAGAATATAGCCCTAATATACGTGATGAAGTTAGAAGACATTATATTAAAAGTGGACCTTGCCGGCCCATGAAATATGATTTTCCTAAAACTACGTCTGAAAGGTAATGCGTCAGTTTTGTCCTAGTTGGTTCAAGGGTCAACATTCTAATTGGTTGGAGTACAGTTATAGTAAAAGATGTTGCATATTGTTTATGTTGCTATTTGTTTAAAAATGAACATGAAACTCATGGAAATATGAGAGATGCTTTTACAAAAAATAGTTTTAAAGCTTGGAACAAGGCTATTGAAAGATTTAAAACTCATATTGGAGAGGTAAATAGCATCCACAACAAATGTTTCAACATGATGATTGATTTAATGAATCAATCACAATCAATTCACAGTTCTTTTGACAGACAATCCGAGAAAGAAAAAAGTGAGTCTAGACGTCGGTTGAGTGCTTCAATCAATGTGGCGAGGTTTCTCTTGAGATTAGAATTGCTATTTCGTGGGCATGACGAGAGTCATTCTTCAACAAATAGAGGTATCTTTCTTGAACTTTTGCAATGGTACGGAGATATTGATCGGGATGTTGGAAGCATTATTTTAGAAAATGCTCCAAAAAATGAAATGATGTGTTCTCCAATAATTCAAAAGGATATTGTTGATGCTTGTTCCAAAGAGACAATCAAAGCAATCATTGAAGATTTGGATGGAGATTTTTTCGGGATACTAGTTGATGAATCAGAGGATATATCACACAAAGAGCAAATGGCACTTGTTCTGAGATATGTTAATAAAGAAGGTGAAGTAATAGAGTGATTTATTGGTATCGTTCATGTTAATGATACAACTGCTCAATCATTGAAGAAGGCAATCGACTCTTTTCTCATGGGTCACTCATTAAGTACATCACATATACGTGGGCAAGGCTACGATGGAGCTAGTAACATGCAAGGAGAGCTAAAGGGTCTTAAGACTTTAATTTTGAATGAGACTCAATCAGCACATTGCATTCTTTGCACATCAATTGCAGTTAACACTTATGGCTCTTGCAAAGAAGCATTCAGATGTAGATGACTTTTTCTGTATTGTTACTAATGTGTTAAATATTGTTGGAGAATCTTTTAAGCGCAGGGATTTGCTTCGACAACATCAAGCTGACAAATTAGAGGAATTGCTTATATTAGGTGAAATACATACTGGGCGAGGATTAAATCAATAGCGTGGACGTCAACGGCCAGGTGATACTCGTTGGGGTTCACATTATAAAACATTGGATAACCTTGTTGTCCTATTTCCATCCATTATTCATGTGCTTGAATTTACTGCACGCGAGTGTCAAAACTATGCCGATAGAATTGTTGCTAAAAGTCTTGTGAGTAAGATTACGGAGTTTGATTTTGCTTTTATGTTGCACTTGATGTTGAAAGTTCTAACGATGGCAAATGAATTGAACTCCTCATTACAAAGAATGGATCAAGATATTGTCAATTCTATGGGACTCCTCGCTCTTACAAAGCAAAGATTGCAAGAGATGGGGGATAGTGAATTTGAATCATTAAAGGATGATGTTTCTTCCTTCTGTGATAAACATGAAATAATAATCCCGAAGATGGACGCTCGCTACTTTCCCGGAAAGTTAAAGTGTAGAGCTCTTGATGTTACATACTCTCATCATTTGCGTGTTGACATATTTTATGATGTCATTGATTTGCATCTTCAAGAGCTTAACAGTCGTTTTGATACTGTGAGTACTGACTTACTTCTCGGTATGGCTTGTTTAAATCCAGCTAATTCATTTGGTAATTTTGATAAGAACATGATAATGAGGTTGGCTGAACATTATCCAAAGGAGTTTGATAGCAGCAAGCTTCGAGATCTCAGTTGCCAGCTTGATAATTTTATAGTTTATGTCCGTGGTTCTGACAAGAGGTTCTTCAACATGAAGGGAATTAGTGACCTTGCTAAAGTGTTGGTTAAGACAGATTTGCATTAAACTTGGCCACATGTTTATTTGCTTATCAAGTTGACTCTCATTCTTCCTGTTGCTGCTGCTTCTGTGGAACGAGCTTTCTCATCTATGAACTACATAAAAAATGAGCTTCGTAACAACATTGGTGATGAATTTTTAAATGGTTGTTTAGTTTGCTATGTAGAGCGTAAGATATTTGCAACTGTAAGCAATGATGATATTATTGATCGTTTTCAACGTATGAAAAGTCGTCGAGCACAGTTGTAACTTGTGACTAGATATCTTTTTTTATAAAGTAACATTATTAGTAGTTCATTGTGGCTAGTGAATAGAAGTCTTTTTTGCTAATGATAATATTAACCGTAGTTTTTCTATTAACTGTTTTTATTACCGTATTTAGATAGTTGTGAGTTTATACTATGTGATGGGTAGCAACTTTTCATTTAAGAAAGTGAGCACCAACGACCTTAAAATCCTGGATCCGACACTTGTTTGGTACAGAAGGCTCGCTTTTGTATGAAAAATCCTTGATGAAATCTCAATAATGTCACCAAGTTAGATTTTAACCGTTATCTTGAAGATCGCTAGATTGGTCATTTATTATTGCTGTTATTTTATTATTATTATATTAGTACCGGTAACAGCAATAGTATCCACGGTGTTTGTTATGTTTCACATTATGTTGTTAGGAAATACAAGTTTCACATGAACGTATTAGAAACTGAATCAGGCTATGTATTTCATGACCAATTGGATGGTCATTAGATTTATACGGCTTCTGCTAACAACTACTCCTTTCTCAAGTAAAAAAGAAACACTAACCATTCTTGAGCTTTCTCCCTAATGGTTTGGGATGTGTTCATTGCCTGTATCTTCGTTATAGTCAATGCATGCACGGAGATATATATTTATTTGGAATTTTGGCCTAGACACCACCATTATTTAAAAAAAAATAATTATTCAGAATAAGGTGGCAGTAGTCTTTTTGTTTTTAGAAATCTAATTTGGTCTTTGTCATGTTCAAACCCAAAGTGTCATTACTTAAATCAGAAAATGTTATGAAAATGCGAGTCTTCCCAAGTTTAGTTCCTTATCAGCATTCCAAAGTAGTTTTGTTTCTAAGGCTTGAGCAGCTCCGCTACATCTGTCTTCTTTTTTTGAATTCCTGTTTTTTTTGTTTGTTAAAGAAAGGAAGGAAGTACCTCTTGTATACTTAATCTTAAATATTTACTCTCTATACGCATAGAATTTTCGCACTGTCGAAAATATTTTGAAACGAGAGTCTCCACCGGGTACGTCTTAGATCCGATTTTTGACTTGTAAATCTATCTATATCTATATCTATCTATACTATATTAAAAGTACGAAAACCCTTCGCGAAATGTCGTTCGCCTTTTTTACCCTTTAAAATTAGATTTCACATTAGACAAAATAGTCATTTGAATTATTTTCCTAATATTTTGGACTTTGAAATCAACTAAATTTTAATTATTATATCTTTCCTTATTGAATTAGATCCTATAATTTTAGGAGTTTAAATTCACTTGATAATTTACCTCAAATAAGGAAAAGAACAGTATTATTCATATATTCTACATTAGTCTATGTATACAAGAACTTCCTTTTACGTAGTTACTATAAATCTGGTGACTAAGAATAAAAATAATATGCTTTATAATATTACAACACATATTATATTTATGATATCTGTCTTTATATTTAATATTATTACTGAATCATAGTTAATTAATATATATTTTCACCTTTTTTGTCACTTAATCGTGATAAATTACTATAGTTTAATCTTTGTATATTGACAGATGATTTTTTCTTTTTCAAAATATTTACCGCGATTGAGAACTTCTTTGTGGAACTATTTGTCCTTATTGAGTTCAATATTCTTCATTTTCAGGACTTGCACTTTAATTTTATAATTCAAACATAATTTTAAATAAAATATTTATATAATTTTTTAAAACTTTTTACTCATTTAGATAAGGTACACGCACAACGCGCGTACTATTGACTAGTAATTTTAAATACGAAAAGATCTTCCTAGGATTGTTATTGTCTACCTTTACGTGTTACGAACACCTCTATGCAATCCTTCGACATTGCAATTAAAATCTTGAATCATGCACATGGATGCAGCTTAATGAGGTCTTGGTATTTATTTTAGTGCTGTTAGGAGTTCCGATAGGTATTTGTACACTGCTTAATCATTTTCTACAGAAGATGGACACAGAGGTAATTTAAGATTAGTGATACAACATTAAGTTGGAAAACAATTTCTAAAATTTCTTTCTTCAGATCTTCAGAGTGTCACTCCAACACATCAATGCCAACAAATGGTGCTCCTGCTTCTTACTTAGGACTGAAAAGCCTGTAGGACAAAACAGAAATAGTGTAGTTACTCAAATTGGTGTTAGAAATTCTGTTTTTAGTTTTTGTTTTTCTGCATATATAAGCAGTGATAGAGAATAACCTCAAGATCTTCACTTTTCTAAATATATATGCATTGTATTACTTGTGTGGTAGTAGTTTAATCCTAATATTGTGTGCTTAAAAGCATGAACACAGTTAAGTTGTGCTTGCTCCTACTAATGTTACTCTAATCCTCTATAAAATAAGATAACATGTGCTTCAGAGAGAATGTTAGTCAGTCCTTTTTCTCATAAATTCTGCAAATTCTAACATGGGACAAGAAAATAGGTTTCAGGTTGTATGTTGCTAGAGTTAAAAGAAAAGTCGTGCTTACAGCAAAAATAGTGGCGTGACCAGGATCAGCAAGGTGAGCGAAAAGGTTGTCAATTGGTCCTGTTCCAGTGTAGATGTGTTGGAACCATGCACCCATGACAGCCAACATGGCCAGCCTTCCGTTCTTGATCTCCTTTGTCCTCAACTCCTTGATCTTTTCAGGAGAACCAGATCCCCAACCTAAAGGATCAAACCATAAGCCTCCTGGATATCCGACATCTGTGCCCGTGAGCTTGTTGTTAGGGAAGATGGGGTCTGTGTTTACGCACCCAGGCTTGATGATATCTGCCCACCTTCTTCCCTCAGCCCAGCCAATAAGTACCAACTCAATGACGAAGAGAGTGGTTGTATCGGTGAAGTATTCTTGTTCACCAGCAGTGTACCATGAAGGTGTGTTAAGAATGCCAATCTTTGTTAGGAATTCTGGGATGAAAATGCCTGCAGCACCTAACATTGCCCATCTGCAGTGTACAAGTTCTGCCTGCTGGTTCCATTTCAAGCTCTCCGGGTCAGATGCTGTCAGTGATCAGTAACAGTTGTTATTTGAGAGTGTAAAACAATATCAAGTCATTTGAAACTAACCATCCATAAAATGTGGATTTAGCAAAACTAGACTTAAGACTTGTATAAAGTGTTATACACTGATAGTCGTAGATAGGTTAAATCCTTGATATTACTCAATTAGAATAAGTATGCTATATCATAGAGAAGAAAGATATGATTTCAAGCAACTACCAAGATTAAGATTTTGGCTTACCAAGGCCAAGAGGGTCGAAACCAAAGTCCCCGGGGAGGCTGCATAGCAAAAATTAAGTTTGAAATTAGCTCCACCAGAACAATGAATGGAAGTGGAGTCATATTTGATTATGACTGACCTGCCATCGAGCCATGGAGGAGGGGTACTACCAGGGAACCAGAGGGGTCTATCAGGGTCAGCAGCAACAGCAGAGACAGCAACCGATCTTGATCCAGCTGGTGCGACGTATTTGCTTACTCTCAATCTTTTCCCTCCAAGGAAAGAAGCCTTTGTTGCTCCTACAATTGATCCATTTTTCTGGGAACTACAGATTCATGATTCAAACAAAGAATAATTGTTAATGCACTTCAAAAAAGTCTTTCTACATTTCATATTTTTGTGTTGTTTAAACTAGGCTTACCTTGGAGAAGAGAATGCAACTGCTGCAATGGCTGATGAAGCGCAGGCGGAGGCCATGTTGGTTGATTTTTCCTTGAATGCAGTGAATAATTGGTGGTGTGTATGAAGAAGCTGATATTGTATGAAGAAGAAGAGGCTTATCTTGATGGATAAAGGGTGAATCTGTGATTGGCTGCTTGAATTGACATGTGGCAACCACAATCTAATATCTGATTCCTCTGCCTTCACTTCCTTCAGTTTACCTGGAAAAATCTAAATCTGGTGGTTCATATTCTTTGTTCAAAAGGCCTCGTATGCTTTACTGTCCCTTTCTGTGCTGTGTAAGTTGAGATCTTCATGGGGGTATTTATGACAATTCACCTACATGTGTTGACACTATAATTTTTATCTGAAAGAATACACGGATTGCCATTTTTTATACAGCTACCAATATATAGCCGCCCTCTCAAAACTAATTAAAATTTAGTCACTCATTAATGCGAAAATAACATTTTGACAAAATACCCCTAGCTAAATACGAAAAACTCCACTTAAGTGTGTTAGAGTTTGAAATTTTTATAAGTGAAGTTTGAAAACTCTTTACATTATGGAATTCTAGTACATTGTGCCGGAGTTCAGAGTTCGGAGTTCAGAGTTCAGAACTTATAGAAGTGAAACTCCAACACATACACTATGTTGGAATACTAAACCAAATTCCTAAAATTTCAGTTCATTTGCATTTCTTCTCCAATATTCTTCAGCGTGTCACAGACCTCACATACACACAGACTTTTACACGGCATAATATATAGTCGGGGAGGAAATAACATGATTTAATAGACGTATGTGTTCAGGCCTTTGCATCGTTGTGTTCTGAACCTTATTTCCCGTAAGTACATAATTGGGATTTTCTTATTTTGGCGTCAACAAAGGTAAAATTATCTCCTGGTCAGCGACTAATACACATATTGTAGAGATATGTATATTATTAGCCATGCATTTATTATAAATAACTGTACATTAAATACTAATAAAAAATTAAATAGATCTATGTGTCCCTTACTTATATTATCGGTTCTTATAAATTATAAAGGTTATGTTCACAATCTAAGATGGAATTGGACAAGTCAATGGAATGATTGTAGCACAAAATTAATTATAATTTATCTTTATTATGGAAATGATATAACCCAAATCTGATATCTAGGTCACGACAGGGTGCCTAATGAGCCACTGCCCATAAGGCAAACCCTCTAAGCTAAACATACTAAAAACATAGTAAGAAGATAAGAGAGAAATGATGCTCATCTGACTAATATAGGTACAATGCGGAAGCATAAAAATATATTTTAATAAATCCCATGAACCCACTGAAAAGACCAAGTGATGGAGCTACTAAATCTGATAATAAAATTCGGGTCACAGGTCAAAATAAAAATTGTACTAAAGCCTGCTAATAGATGAAGTTGCCTCTAGAACAAGTGGCGGTTTACTGTCATGACCCAAAATCTACCTAGTCGTGATGACACCTAACTCAACCCGCTAGGTAAGTCAAACAACATTCAACACAACTCTAATGAAAATAATAAGAAACCAATAAGTGAAAGAACTGAATTTTCATACAATAACCCAAAGAATGGTTAGCCACTAAGATTTAGATTTACAAAGCTGGTATGAAAATAAATACAACATCTGTTTGGAATATGCATAAACAGAGTACGAATAAAAAAATACCAAGGACAAGTGGTAGCTATATCCGAAAAGCAGGTACATCTTCAATGCCACCTCCCGTCATCCACATCATCTCAGCTCCAAAATCTGCACGCAAGGTGCAGATGTGTAGTATGAGTACAACTGACCACATGTACTTAGCAAGTATCATAACTAACCCCGACGAGGTAATAGACAAGAATTATCAATGAAACTCTCTAATAACATGTTCACTTCTTAAATCTCACAAGTACACATCAATAATATTATCAAGTCATAAATCACATATAAAGCTACCTCTGTACACGAAGACAACGTAACATGCTCTATTTCAGTTAACAATCCAGCATATAAAGAAGATATGCGTGAAATACTAGATAATCCTTCACCAGTTGCATATAGAGAAGATATGCATGATTAAGCAAGTCAAGTCACATGGATTCACATATAGAGAAGATATGTACCGTTTCTCATCTCATCAAGTAAGATAACATAAAGAGAAGATATGCATAAAGGCATGTATACACTCCACAACTAGCAAATAGAGAAGAGATGTAGCAAAATCATGTATACACCGAAGGAAAATTGTTCATTGATTCTTGCCCAAGACTTGGAGAATTCACAAGGAAAACTCACAAGGTCTTCATCCAAAAGGTAAGGTTCTAACCCTAGTCTTCAATTTCGAGTTTAGGTAGAAGATGGATAATTGGGAGTATGATTCTTGGGTATGAGAGTTGTTTATTTTACATGCATATACCATCAAGGGTAGTGGGAAGATTGTTGAGCTCTTTTGGGTAAACTTTGGGTAGTGGGATGAAAGAATCCACCATAGGAGGACCTTAAAACTTTAATGCGCATCTAGTATTTGATAAAATGCTCAAGTGAGCTGGAACTATCAACTCTCTCCTAATTTGTGTTCAATTTTGCTATATTTCTAAATAGATCGACGAGGCAAAGAATTCCGAAATATTATAGTAATTTAAAAAGCTCGAGGTGAGGTATGTTGGCTAAACTTCTCTCTTAGAATTGAATTCCCACGATGATCTTGTAAGTCTCGAGTTGTCCATTATGAATTGACTTTTCTGAATAAGTTTGGTGTCGGATGATGTATATATATGAATATGTTCAAAATATATTCCAGAATATTCTTATCATATTGTGTTATTCTTCGGGGGAGTATTTGAAGTATGAGTATGTAGTAAAATGTTGTGACTTCAAGTCAAATCCAAATGAAAGTTATCAAACCAAGCTGTATAAGAAATCACATGTGCCTAAGACCCTAATTTGCTCATATATGTATTTAAAGTCATAATTTGAAAGGTCTTGTTGTTGATTATCCATGGTGATGTTTGAAAGTGAAATAGTGAGCATGAATTATGAAGTACGGCCAACATGACAAGAATGATATTGCGTTATGGCTAATGGTTCCACTAAAATGAATGATATGTAAAAGAATATGAAATGAGTGGTAAATCCTTTTAATAATAAATGTATTGGGAGTATCGTTTAGCCACCGAGGAAGGGTAGGTCGGAACAACCTAACCCCGAAACTACACGTATCGGTGTAGGAGTGATTGAGGGGTAAATCCCTTTGTTAATGTGATAAGACTGTTTCCCCTCATATGGGATGATATTGGTGTGTTGAGATATTTCCCCTTAAATAGGATGGGATTATTGCTAGTGAAATGTGATGTGATGTCGACTCACATGGCATTGTGGTGAGATGGCTTAGCCGATCGGGCTGAGATCGGACGCCATGACGCGCACATAGTGGTATTGTTAGTGTATGTCTCTTGTGAGACAGCTTAGCTGGTCGGGTTGAGATTGGACTCCGTGTTAACACACAGTGGTGTATCGGTGCTAAAGATCTCCCAACTTAAATTAATGAAACTTACTTGAAATTTACCTTTACCCTAACTTGACACCTTGATACTGGTTGGGTCTCTTATTGATTTCATGCTTTATTCTCCGTTTACTGTTACTCGTTCTATTGAGAGGGTGTTTAGTTTTGCATACTAGTACTATTCCATATGTACTAATGTCCTTTTTGCCGGGGACGCTGCATATTTAATAGATGCAGGTGGTTCTATAGCAGAAGGTATTGACTAGTGATAGCAGCACACCCTCTCCTCAGCTGACTTGGTGAGCCTAACTTCATTTCGGGGTCATGTATCTCTTATCCTTTGTACTTAACCTTTTGAGGTATAGCCGGGGCCTTATTGCCGGCACTGTCATAACACTCTTTTGTTTCTGTTAAAGGCTCCGTAGACATACTGTGGGTTATATCTGTATCTTGTTTTGGGAAGGTTGAACTAAACTTGTTGTAATTGTATCATCTGTCCCACTTTAACTGCGAATGTATAGTGTACTGTTTTGGGGACTTGTTAATGACGTAACTAATGGAAATGAACTGGTGTTAATCACATGACCTTTTAATATTTAATTAATGAAATGCATTCTTCTCTTTATTCATGGGTGAGTTGGGTAGATGGCACTGTACAAGTTTGCTCGACCGGAGTAACTATGTTGAGCACCGGTCGCGCTCCCCGAGGTCGGGGCGTGACACCTGCCTCACTCCCTATCGCTTCTGCGACCCCCGAGCCGCTTCTGCGGTCACTCAGGTGCAAGAATTCCTTCGCACTTGCGGCCTCTACCCAACTCCCTTCTAACCGCTTCTGCGGTCCACTGCCTTGCTTCTGCGAGGCCACTTCTGCGATGAAGCTTCCGCAGAAGCGGTTGCACTTGCAACCAGAATCCTCCAGCTTTTCCTTAAGTCCAAAATCCAATCCGTTAACCATCCAGAATCAATCCCCCCGGGACCTTGACCAAATATACCAACGCGTTCCAAAACACATTACGAACTTAGTCGAGGCCTTAAATCACGCCAAACAACATCCAAACTACGAATTGGCGATCGAAATCCTTCTTTAACTTTCAAACTTTCTGTTACACCCTATATTTTTGTACATAAAAATGCATAGTAAACAAACTAATGTAGGACCAAAAATGAGATAATATTTAAAAGTATATAAAGTAAGTTAATCATGTTACCTCTGAGGTTACAAATATTGAAGATCATGAACAACAAGTACAAAGAGGGTTGGACAGTTCAGAAGCTAAAGCAATTAAATAAAATAATGTTTCGTCGAAAGTCGACAAGTTGGAAATGTTATAACATGTACCTTTGGGGTGAGACTAGGGTGATTAACATGATAAGGAGATTATGTTATGATTTATATTAGTCGTATGACATCCGTGTGTTATGTTTTGAAGTCAAGCGAGTTGTGGAACAAAAGTCGATGAAAGTCATCACAAGTTACATTCATAAAATTTACTGAAACTTTGGGTCAAATGTAATTGCAATTTTCTCCCAATATACTTAGAGTTATGGGGTGTTCCACCCATCAAATTAAAGATCTATGAGTCTATTTTCCAATACATTAAACCGTTTTTCAATACAACATCGGAGTAGTGAGATATGGGCATTTTTGCAATACTGCGCAAGCTACTAGGTGACAAGTAGGTGTGTCACCTACTTGCTTAAATGAAAGCCCAAAAATGGGCCATTTCGGGTCGTCCAAAGAGGCCTTTTAAGGGCCTATTTTCTTCATATATTAGACTTAAAATAGAGCATAATAACCAGA